TCATGCCTCTCTTGCCAGGTTTTTGTGGCAGCATGAAGACATGTTACCCTGAGAAGCAAACAGTGTCCACTGTTAATGTCTCCTGGAGCATGACAATGTCAATGTTCCTTGATCGCACTACTGCTTGGAGGATGGTTCTTGTGTGTGTGTGGCGCGGGAGGGGAGGGGGGTGAGTGCATGCAGGTGGTTCTTCTTGGTTGTGTATTTATTTCCGTCCTTTTAAGTATCACCAATACATCAAAGCCCTTTACAATGCTTCAATCCCCATCTCATTTAAATCTCACTTTCTTCACTTGTCCCATTTTTGCCTTTCTTGCTTCCATCACCTAATATATTAATCCATAAAGGGGACTCATCTCATTCACACTGCATGTCCTTCTGGTTCTAGGTCTTTGATACAAGATATCTGTTACCAGTACCCAAGCCACCATCACAATTCCTTTGACATAAAGAAAGTTCATGAGGGAGCTGTAGGCAGAGGCACCATGACCAGAGAAGATAAGCCCATCTGGTGAGGATTAACCATATCCCTTAAACCTAGATTAGACCCTGTCCGTTATTTTCTTCTATATTTCTCTCTCTCAATTTTACTTTCCTCTTTCAACATGCAAAGATGCAAATTCCCATTTTTAGAATGAGTTTACAGTTGTGCACATCTGATTTACTAATCATTGTGTCAAGAATAACACAGTATACCAAGGTGACATAATTTCAAGTGTGAAAGTGGTCTGAACTCACTTTTTCATTTGGAAGTGGTAATGAAAAAGGCCAAAGTTTATATAACACTTTATTATCAGACTTCAATATTTTTCTCATATTTGTAATAAAGGATTTTTTGTTTATTTGTTGCATATAATCTATAGATTTCTTCAGAGCTAGAATATTCCAGTTCCTGTTTCACCGGGTATATTCTTTCTTTTATGTCAGATCTTTGTTCTGTTGGTGTGGGAAGATCTGCATCACTAATGGTCTCCTCAGAGCTAGAATATTCCAGTTCCTGTTTCACCGGGTATATTCTTTCTTTTATGTCAGATCTTTGTTCTGTTGGTGTGGGAAGATCTGCATCACTAATGGTCTCCTCAGAGCTAGAATATTCCAGTTCCTGTTTCACCGGGTATATTCTTTCTTTTATGTCAGATCTTTGTTCTGTTGGTGTGGGAAGATCTGCATCACTAATGGTCTCCTCAGAGCTAGAATATTCCAGTTCCTGTTTCACCGGGTATATTCTTTCTTTTATGTCAGATCTTTGTTCTGTTGGTGTGGGAAGATCTGCATCACTAATGGTCTCCTCAGAGCTAGAATATTCCAGTTCCTGTTTCACCGGGTATATTCTTTCTTTTATGTCAGATCTTTGTTCTGTTGGTGTGGGAAGATCTGCATCACTAATGGTCTCCTCGGAGCTAGAATATTCCAGTTCCTGTTTCACCGGGTATATTCTTTCTTTTATGTCAGATCTTTGTTCTGTTGGTGTGGGAAGATCTGCATCACTAATGGTCTCCTCAGAGCTAGAATCTTCCAGTTCCTGTTTCACCGGGTATATTCTTTCTTTTATGTCAGATCTTTGTTCTGTTGGTGTGGGAAGATCTGCATCACTAATGGTCTCCTCAGAGCTAGAATATTCCAGTTCCTGTTTCACCGGGTATATTCTTTCTTTTATGTCAGATCTTTGTTCTGTTGGTGTGGGAAGATCTGCATCACTAATGGTCTCCTCAGAGCTAGAATATTCCAGTTCCTGTTTCACCGGGTATATTCTTTCTTTTATGTCAGATCTTTGTTCTGTTGGTGTGGGAAGATCTGCATCACTAATGGTCTCCTCGGAGCTAGAATATTCCAGTTCCTGTTTCACCGGGTATATTCTTTCTTTTATGTCAGATCTTTGTTCTGTTGGTGTGGGAAGATCTGCATCACTAATGGTCTCCTCAGAGCTAGAATATTCCAGTTCCTGTTTCACCGGGTATATTCTTTCTTTTATGTCAGATCTTTGTTCTGTTGGTGTGGGAAGATCTGCATCACTAATGGTCTCCTCAGAGCTAGAATATTCCAGTTCCTGTTTCACCGGGTATATTCTTTCTTTTATGTCAGATCTTTGTTCTGTTGGTGTGGGAAGATCTGCATCACTAATGGTCTCCTCAGAGCTAGAATATTCCAGTTCCTGTTTCACCGGGTATATTCTTTCTTTTATGTCAGATCTTTGTTCTGTTGGTGTGGGAAGATCTGCATCACTAATGGTCTCCTCAGAGCTAGAATATTCCAGTTCCTGTTTCACCGGGTATATTCTTTCTTTTATGTCAGATCTTTGTTCTGTTGGTGTGGGAAGATCTGCATCACTAATGGTCTCCTCAGAGCTAGAATATTCCAGTTCCTGTTTCACCGGGTATATTCTTTCTTTTATGTCAGATCTTTGTTCTGTTGGTGTGGGAAGATCTGCATCACTAATGGTCTCCTCAGAGCTAGAATATTCCAGTTCCTGTTTCACCGGGTATATTCTTTCTTTTATGTCAGATCTTTGTTCTGTTGGTGTGGGAAGATCTGCATCACTAATGGTCTCCTCAGAGCTAGAATATTCCAGTTCCTGTTTCACCGGGTATATTCTTTCTTTTATGTCAGATCTTTGTTCTGTTGGTGTGGGAAGATCTGCATCACTAATGGTCTCCTCAGAGCTAGAATATTCCAGTTCCTGTTTCACCGGGTATATTCTTTCTTTTATGTCAGATCTTTGTTCTGTTGGTGTGGGAAGATCTGCATCACTAATGGTCTCCTCAGAGCTAGAATATTCCAGTTCCTGTTTCACCGGGTATATTCTTTCTTTTATGTCAGATCTTTGTTCTGTTGGTGTGGGAAGATCTGCATCACTAATGGTCTCCTCAGAGCTAGAATATTCCAGTTCCTGTTTCACCGGGTATATTCTTTCTTTTATGTCAGATCTTTGTTCTGTTGGTGTGGGAAGATCTGCATCACTAATGGTCTCCTCAGAGCTAGAATCTTCCTGAACTTCATCTACAGGGGATATTTCCTTTGGCTGACCTCCTACAGGGGACCTTAGCTCTGTTAGTGTGGGAAGATCTTCCTCAGTACCAGTCTCATCAGAGCTAGAATCTTCCTCTGGTTCACCTCCTCCTACATAGAACCTTCCTAGTTCTGTTGGTGCTGGAAGATCTTCCTTACAACTAGTCTCTTCTTTACTAGAGCATTCCTGAACTACTTTCATAGATTTTTTTACAAAAGAAGCATTTTCCCCTGGCTGATATTCATTTATGTTGCCTCTTTTAAATATGGCTGTAACTGGAAAATCTTCCTTAATACTGTGTTCCTTGGTGGGACATCCTTCTGGATCTGGCTGGACCTTTGTTGATTTCTTTTCTTGGATTTCTGCAATGGGAATATCAAGCAGAGGGCTTGCAGTCCTTATCTGCTTTTGGGTCTCTTTGTTTGGCAGATTCCCTAAACATTTCCTTAAAAAGGGCAAAGTGGTCAGTTTATCTTCCCATTTCTTTGTTTCTTTACTGTTATGGGTTGTAAGATGATGGTCAAGCTGAGATCTCCAAATAAAGTTCTTGTCACAGAGTGAACAATAGAATGGTTTGCTACCCTTGTGAATTTTCACATGCTTCTTCAGAATGCATTTTGCATTGAAATTTTCATCACAGTAGGAGCATTTGAATTGCTTCCCATAAGCACTTGCTTTTGTGTGTCTTAAGAGGTCAGCCTTATCTAAAAACTTTTTATCACACTGTAAACATACAAAACTACTCTGATGTAAATGAATTTTCTCATGTTGTTTCAGTTCCCATATTGTGATGAACTTCATATCACACTGAGAGCACTGGTGCATGTCACTAACATGTATTTTCCCATGCTGTATCAAGTCCTCCTCTGAAATAAATTTTTCTTCACAGTGTGAACACCAAAATGGGCTTTCATCTGAGAATGTTTCTGAGAGTAAGTTCTTAGGAGAGTAACTACTCTCACTGAAGCACTCCTCCTTACTTGTTAAATGTTTTTTGCCTTCATGCACCTTACTGTGTAGGATCAGCCTAGACTCCACAAAGAATTTCATGTCACAATGTGCACATTCAAAGGTTTTTTCACCTTTATGACTTTTTACATGTTTTCTAAGTAAACACTGTACTTCAAAAGTTTCAACACACTTTGGGCACTTGAATGGATTTTCTTTCGTACTGATTTTTACGTGACGTTTAAGAGTGAATTCATGAAGGAATTTCTGATTACAATACAAACAAACAAATGTACTTCTCTCTTGTATATGAGTACCCTCATGAGATCTCAGTTCATAAGCATAGGTAAATTTCCATTCACACTGTGAACACTGGAAAGGTTTATGCAAATCATGTTTTCTCCTCGTATGTTTTTGTAAGGTGGCCAAAGAGCTTAATCTTTTCTTGCAAATTAGACATGCAAATGGTTTTTGATTTGCAAGCATCTTTCCAACATTTTTGCTAGAAGGACCATTTGGAGTTTGACTTGTACCTTGCACCAGCTGGGAGGGTGATAACTTTTCATCCTCTTGTGAGCCTACTGGGGGTCTTTCCCCTGAACTTGGGCTACACAGTACTTGGTCAATCCCCTCCTTGATCTGCCCTTTATCTTTATCTTTCCCTAAAGCAGCTGAGATGGAAAATTTATCTTTACTGTCAAAGCCTTCCTGAGTTTTATGGATCATCAGATGATATTTGAGCTCAGATCTGCTATGGAATTTCACATCACAGTATGGACAGCCCTTCATTTTTTCATCTTTGTGTATTTCCATATGTTTCTTTAAAAGACATTTAGCTTCAAATTTTTTATCACAAGAGTAACACCAGAAATGTTCTTCCCCAGCATTAGTTCCTAAATGGGTATTAAGATCTGACAAAAGCTTGAACTTCTGTTCACAATGCATACAAGCAAAGCTTTTTTTGTTTTTATGAACTCTCTCATGCTTTTTCAATTGCAATGGGTAAGGAAACTTTAAATTGCACAGTGAACACTGGTACGGTCTACTATGTCTTCCTTTTATGCTTATAAAAGTCACACTTTGCCTTGAATTTCTTATCACACTGAGAACAATGATATTTCTCAATACTAGAGTGCATTCTTTCCTCATGATCTTTTAAGCTACATTTAAGGGTAAATCTTCTATTACAGTATGAACATTCAAATCGTTTACTACCTGGGTGTATCTTTGCACTGAGAGTAGAAGAATAAGCATCCTTTGTGGGAGATCCATTTTGTATCTGTTGGGAAGGCCCCTCCTCTTTTACTAATGCTTTTGGTGATGACTTCCCAGCCATGTATTCACTCCTAGCTTCCTTCTGGCCTTCTTCTAATAAAATACCAGATATTGGGGATTTTACCCTTGACTCTTGCTGTCCCTTACCTGAATGACTTGCAACATGTTTATTCAGCTGAGATTCCCAGAGAAACTCCTCATCACAGAGGGGACACTTCAATGGATTTACACCATGGTCAATTTTTACATGATTTCTGAGGATGCATTCAGCTTCAAAAAATTTAATGCAATAAGAACACTTGAAATCCTTATCACTATCAGTTTTGTTTAGATGCTCCGTAAGGTCTTTTTTCTGAAGGAATTTCTCATCACAATATTGGCATAAAAACTCCTGCTTGCTACTGTGCTTCTTCTCATGTTCCTGTAAATCCAGCTCAGTCATAAATTTCATATCACACTGTATACAGAGCAAAGGCTTTCTTGATTATATGTTTTCCTTTTTCATGTCTTCTTAAACTTGCTTTGGACTTAAAGTTCTTCTCACACTGTGAACACTGGAAAGGTTTATGCAAATCATGTTTTCTCCTCGTATGTTTTTGTAAGGTGGCCAAAGAGCTTAATCTTTTCTTGCAAATTAGACATGCAAATGGTTTTTGATTTGCAAGCATCTTTCCAACATTTTTGCTAGAAGGACTATTTGGAGTTTGACTTGCACCTTGCACCAGCTGGGAGGGTGATAACTTTTCATCCTCTTGTGAGCCTACTGGGGGTCTTTCCCCTGAACTTGGGCTACACAGTACTTGGTCAATCCCCTCCTTGATCTGCCCTTTATCTTTATCTTTCCCTAAAGCAGCTGAGATGGAAAATTTATCTTTACTGTCAAAGCCTTCCTGAGTTTTATGGATCATCAGATGATATTTGAGCTCAGATCTGCTATGGAATTTCACATCACAGTATGGACAGCCCTTCATTTTTTCATCTTTGTGTATTTCCATATGTTTCTTTAAAAGACATTTAGCTTCAAATTTTTTATCACAAGAGTAACACCAGAAATGTTCTTCCCCAGCATTAGTTCCTAAATGGGTATTAAGATCTGACAAAAGCTTGAACTTCTGTTCACAATGCATACAAGCAAAGCTTTTTTTGTTTTTATGAACTCTCTCATGCTTTTTCAATTGCAATGGGTAAGGAAACTTTAAATTGCACAGTGAACACTGGTACGGTCTACTATGTCTCCTTTTATGCTTATAAAAGTCACACTTTGCCTTGAATTTCTTATCACACTGAGAACAATGATATTTCTCAATACTAGAGTGCATTCTTTCCTCATGATCTTTTAAGCTACATTTAAGGGTAAATCTTCTATTACAGTATGAACATTCAAATCGTTTACTACCTGGGTGTATCTTTGCACTGAGAGTAGAAGAATAAGCATCCTTTGTGGGAGATCCATTTTGTATCTGTTGGGAAGGCCCCTCCTCTTTTACTAATGCTTTTGGTGATGACTTCCCAGCCATGTATTCACTCCTAGCTTCCTTCTGGCCTTCTTCTGATAAAATACCAGATATTGGGGATTTTACCCTTGACTCTTGCTGTCCCTTACCTGAATGACTTGCAACATGTTTATTCAGCTGAGATTCCCAGAGAAACTCCTCATCACAGAGGGGACACTTCAATGGATTTACACCATGGTCAATTTTTACATGATTTCTGAGGATGCATTCAGCTTCAAAAATTTTAATGCAATAAGAACACTTGAAATCCTTATCACTATCAGTTTTGTTTAGATGCTCTGTAAGGTCTTTTTTCTGAAGGAATTTCTCATCACAATATTGGCATAAAAACTCCTGCTTGCTACTGTGCTTCTTCTCATGTTCCTGTAAATCCAGCTCAGTCATAAATTTCATATCACACTGTATACAGAGCAAAGGCTTCTTGATTATATGTTTTCCTTTTTCATGTCTTCTTAAACTTGCTTTGGACTTAAAGTTCTTCTCACACTGTGAACATCCAAACTGTACTTCAGCTGAGTTACTATTCTGTATGTCAACTTGTACAACACACTTATTTTCCTGCACACTAAGGTCATTATCCGGTACAGTAATGTTTTTATCCTGTGCGCCAAGGTCACTATCCTTGATGTGAAATCCTGATACCTGGTTGGAGGGAATGACACTGTCTTCCCTCTCATTTGACATCTCATGTTTTCTTGATGTTGATAGACTAGCAAAGTCCTCTCCCAGGTCTGACTTTCCTTTTCCTTTAATATGAGACTTTTCATGTTTGTATAATTCATTCTTCAAGGTGAACTTCATGCTGCACAGTGAACATTCATAGGGTTTCTCCCTGGTGTGGATTTTCTCATGCTGTTTACAGTTTGATCTGCAATTGAACTTCTTATTGCAGTACTGGCAGCTAAATGGTGTCTCCCCTGTGTGGATATTTATATGCCTTTCCATATCAGCCTTCCTTAGAAAAAATTTATCACAGTATGAACATTTGAACGGTTTGTCTCCTGTGTGCGTCTTTATGTGCATTCTTAAGTTGCCCTTAACTAGAAATGTTTTGTCGCAGTGTGCACAAGTAAATTTTTTTTTCCCTATATGAGTTTTCTCATGCATGGTTAGCCTACTTTTTGTAACAAATTCTTTTTCACACTGTGAACACTGGAAATTCTTCATACTTGCATGCAATGCTTCATGACGTTTCAAACATCTATATGAGAAGAATTTTTTTTCACACTGTGAACACTGGAAATTCTTCATACTTGCATGCAATGCTTCATGACGTTTCAAACATCTATATGAGAAGAATTTTTTTTCACACTGTGAACACTGGAAATTCTTCATACTTGCATGCAATGCTTCATGACGTTTCAAACATCTATATGAGAAGAATTTTTTTTCACACTGTGAACACTGGAAATTCTTCATACTTGCATGCAATGCTTCATGACGTTTCAAACATCTATATGAGAAGAATTTTTTTTCACACTGTGAACACTGGAAATTCTTCATACTTGCATGCAATGCTTCATGACGTTTCAAACATCTATATGAGAAGAATTTTTTTTCACACTGTGAACACTGGAAATTCTTCATACTTGCATGCAATGCTTCATGACGTTTCAAACATCTATATGAGAAGAATTTTTTTTCACACTGTGAACACTGGAAATTCTTCATACTTGCATGCAATGCTTCATGACGTTTCAAACATCTATATGAGAAGAATTTTTTTTCACACTGTGAACACTGGAAATTCTTCATACTTGCATGCAATGCTTCATGACGTTTCAAACATCTATATGAGAAGAATTTTTTTTCACACTGTGAACACTGGAAATTCTTCATACTTGCATGCAATGCTTCATGACGTTTCAAACATCTATATGAGAAGAATTTTTTTTCACACTGTGAACACTGGAAATTCTTCATACTTGCATGCAATGCTTCATGACGTTTCAAACATCTATATGAGAAGAATTTTTTTTCACACTGTGAACACTGGAAATTCTTCATACTTGCATGCAATGCTTCATGACGTTTCAAACATCTATATGAGAAGAATTTTTTTTCACACTGTGAACACTGGAAATTCTTCATACTTGCATGCAATGCTTCATGACGTTTCAAACATCTATATGAGAAGAATTTTTTTTCACACTGTGAACACTGGAAATTCTTCATACTTGCATGCAATGCTTCATGACGTTTCAAACATCTATATGAGAAGAATTTTTTTTCACACTGTGAACACTGGAAATTCTTCATACTTGCATGCAATGCTTCATGACGTTTCAAACATCTATATGAGAAGAATTTTTTTTCACACTGTGAACACTGGAAATTCTTCATACTTGCATGCAATGCTTCATGACGTTTCAAACATCTATATGAGAAGAATTTTTTTTCACACTGTGAACACTGGAAATTCTTCATACTTGCATGCAATGCTTCATGACGTTTCAAACATCTATATGAGAAGAATTTTTTTTCACACTGTGAACACTGGAAATTCTTCATACTTGCATGCAATGCTTCATGACGTTTCAAACATCTATATGAGAAGAATTTTTTTTCACACTGTGAACACTGGAAATTCTTCATACTTGCATGCAATGCTTCATGACGTTTCAAACATCTATATGAGAAGAATTTTTTTTCACACTGTGAACACTGGAAATTCTTCATACTTGCATGCAATGCTTCATGACGTTTCAAACATCTATATGAGTAGAATTTTTTTTCACACTGTGAACATTCAAATGTTCTTTCAGATGTATGTGTCTGTATATGATAAATGAGATTACTCTTGTCAATGAATCTTTTCTCACAAACTGCACATTGTAATGGCCTTTCATTTCTATGCATCATTTCATGCTTCCTGAGTGATTGTACAGAACGTAATTTCTTACCACATAGCTCACACTCATAAGTCTTTGCTTCACCTGTATGTGATTTAATGTGAAATCCGAGGTTGCTCTTCACAGAGAAGCTTTTCTCACAGAATGAACATTGGTAAGGCTTTTCACCCGTATGCACACGCTCATGTTGCTCAAGGTTACGTTTGGAACTCAGCACTTTCTTGCAGTAGGAGCACTTGAAGTTCTTGGTGCTGTTCATACTGGACAGCTGAAAAACACAAGAAAACTTGACTTACAAAGGCAGTGAACGACAGCCAGGTACAAAATAAACTTATATGCCATGTTAAAGAATAGGAAAATAATACTTGACACTACTAGAATTTGATGAAATTATATAGTCTAATAAATTGAAGATTCCTGATTCACATTATTTTTATCTCATATATATATATATATATATATATATATATATATATATATATATATATATATATATATATATATATATATATATATATATATACAAACATTTGAAACCAATTTCCACATTTGTTTTATAAGGATACTACTTTATATGTTGAGCCAAGATTGAAAAACTTTTTTATTTCCATTCCTTGTTAAGACTCAAAGTACCTTTTTGAGTTATAGTGACTGTAAAGAGAAAATGCTGTTGCATTCTATTATAATTATTATTTTTGGTTCACATTAAGAAGAAATATACTTGAATTTCAAAGGAGTTTTCTTGTCTAGATATGAGGAAAGCTGTAAGATAAAAATTTAACTTTGCTGTGAATTAAAATCTTTTAATGTTACAGTTTTGAGCAAATTTATCATTAAACTTTCATTAATAAATTTATACTTCCTTTTTGCCTCTTATTTAGTTGAATATATTTTCAAAACTGGGCTTAAAATGTTCAGATACCCCATACAAATACTCCAAATTTTCACCATAGTGTATAATTCAAATGTCTGGCAGGAGTTTAAATGCACATGCCATGCCCACTGTAAGTTTACTTGTTTGATTGTTTTACACATAGATGGCTACACTTCAACTAAATCACCAATGAGCCAGTTATGAGTACCACCCTTTTCATCGATTATTTTGCTGTTACAATTGTTTATAACATTATAATATTCATAATGTTTATAATAAAAATAACATCATCTATCATTATCATTATAACAGCTATAATCTTAATATCATTATTATGATTAGTAATAGCTTAATTAACATTATCTATCATTATCATTATAACAGCTATAATCTTAATATCATTATTATGATTAGTAATAGCTTAATTAACATTATCTATCATTATCATTATAACAGCTATAATCTTAATATCATTATTATGATTAGTAATAGCTTAATTAACATTATCTATCATTATCATTATAACAGCTATAATCTTAATATCATTATTATGATTAGTAATAGCTTAATTAACATTATCTATCATTATCATTATAACAGCTATAATCTTAATATCATTATTATGATTAGTAATAGCTTAATTAACATTATCTATCATTATCATTATAACAGCTATAATCTTAATATCATTATTATGATTAGTAATAGCTTAATTAACATTATCTATCATTATCATTATAACAGCTATAATCTTAATATCATTATTATGATTAGTAATAGCTTAATTAACATTATCTATCATTATCATTATAACAGCTATAATCTTAATATCATTATTATGATTAGTAATAGCTTAATTAACATTATCTATCATTATCATTATAACAGCTATAATCTTAATATCATTATTATGATTAGTAATAGCTTAATTAACATTATCTATCATTATCATTATAACAGCTATAATCTTAATATCATTATTATGATTAGTAATAGCTTAATTAACATTATCTATCATTATCATTATAACAGCTATAATCTTAATATCATTATTATGATTAGTAATAGCTTAATTAACATTATCTATCATTATCATTATAACAGCTATAATCTTAATATCATTATTATGATTAGTAATAGCTTAATTAACATTATCTATCATTATCATTATAACAGCTATAATCTTAATATCATTATTATGATTAGTAATAGCTTAATTAACATTATCTATCATTATCATTATAACAGCTATAATCTTAATATCATTATTATGATTAGTAATAGCTTAATTAACATTATCTATCATTATCATTATAACAGCTATAATCTTAATATCATTATTATGATTAGTAATAGCTTAATTAACATTATCTATCATTATCATTATAACAGCTATAATCTTAATATCATTATTATGATTAGTAATAGCTTAATTAACATTATCTATCATTATCATTATAACAGCTATAATCTTAATATCATTATTATGATTAGTAATAGCTTAATTAACATTATCTATCATTATCATTATAACAGCTATAATCTTAATATCATTATTATGATTAGTAATAGCTTAATTAACATTATCTATCATTATCATTATAACAGCTATAATCTTAATATCATTATTATGATTAGTAATAGCTTAATTAACATTATCTATCATTATCATTATAACAGCTATAATCTTAATATCATTATTATGATTAGTAATAGCTTAATTAACATTATCTATCATTATCATTATAACAGCTATAATCTTAATATCATTATTATGATTAGTAATAGCTTAATTAACATTATCTATCATTATCATTATAACAGCTATAATCTTAATATCATTATTATGATTAGTAATAGCTTAATTAACATTATCTATCATTATCATTGTAGTTGTTTTCTTATTGTTTTTATTATTAGTATTATCACTATCATTAATTCATATTGCTATTAAGACTAATTATTACTTTTTGGTATCACTATCATTTTCATTACAATCCATATAGCCTAATAAATATAATTTCTCCTGCTGACATAATTATGACTCTCATCAGCCATATCCTTATTAGGTAATGCATAATATAAACCAAATACCCCAAGTGACAGGAAATATACATGTGCAGAAGCTAGTGAAGTATGTAATGACCTATAAAAATAATGGCTTGAATCACGAGATCAGTTTCCTTACTGTTTAGAATTAAAATGGCAAGAGAAATTCAGATAAGAACATGATTCTTGGGTAACAGAATTAATTTTTAACTCATATTCATTTATTACTTTTAAATCAGTCTGGTGTAAATTGATCTCTGAGCCCAAACCAAAAAATAAAGCAATGAAACAATGGTATAACTCTTGTAATGAGGACAGGGTTAAAAATGGATGGTTAAAAATAATAATAATAATAAATATGCTAGACATCAAAGGTCATATAGCACCATGGTAAAGTATTGTGGTGAAAAGGGTAATAATGAAATAATGATAAGGATATGTGGACAGAAGAAGGGGATGAAGAAGAGAAGGAAAATGGTAATTGGTTAAAACAAATAAATGTACAAGACATCAAAGGTCATTTAGCAC